CAAACATTTTATTTTTACGCGCTCTGCACCCTAAATGCAGAGAAGTTCATTTGCATTTAACGCTGGCTGAACAGTTGATAAATTAACAAAGGAGATTTTTATCATATTGTTCAATATGCTGCTGCATACAAATAATTCATCGCTTTATAACAATCGCGGCCATTGTCGGTCGTTTGCCGGAATGAGTTCGGGGTTAACAGCGCTAGTCCGTGTCTGGCTTTTATTCAATTTACCACACCGGACATAATGGTACAATAAGAGAGCCCGAGTTGACATGATCACCTCATTCGGGCGTCTTTTGGAATATTTATTTAGAAGGCTAGTGCATCTTAGTAATTCATTCAGCAGATACAGATACCTAAATATTTACAAAATATTTTTTTTTATATTGTAAACTGTTTGGTGCCTCGGAACTAATAACATTGCTCTAAAATATAGCAACTCTATCTGAGGCCTGCAAATACTATATAGTACATGGAGATATCGTACTTCATATGCATTCAAATACTAATATTAAACATAAATCGTTACAGTACAGAATATTTTAATTGGTATATTGACTAGTTTTTGTCTCCTCTGCTTTTTTTTTACACCTATATTTCGTATCTGTTTATACCGCTATATATTATACCGCTGCATTCTTTTTCTTCCAAAAAATATCGAGTATTTTCTTATAAAGTGTATTTTTAAATCTCCAAATAAATTGTAAATAATTAAGAATTCAGATCAAAAGTAATTAAGTAATTCAGATCTAACTTACTTAATTTTTACTTAAAAAAATTACCGTCCGTATTTGGAGTCCGGAGTTGTCGTCATTAATTGACAGGCTCATCTCAGTTAAGCGTAATGAGCTAGGTAAATATAAAATTACCATTGTAATAATTCTGAAACGTCTAACTTGATTTATCTTAAGGAAACATCAATAAAAATATTTATATTCAAACATCATATTACGTTTAACGGTCATAAAAAGTTTTCTCCCTGTAAGGCAATCTTTTAACATTCGTTCATATGCTCTTCTATTTCCGATAATCTTTTTAGAGATGTTTGCCTTTCGATTTCCAGTTTGCATTTTAAAATCTGGAAACACTTTAGCCTCCTTCACTGTCATAAAATATGTCGTTAATATAGAATATTCTGATAAGTCACGTTGTTAAAATATTATCATTGTTTATGATTCTCAATTTCCACATCCACATTCCAATTTCTCATTTTCCACGAAAAAATACATGCTTCTCTAACTTTGAAAAATGAAAATGATACAAAAATATTCCACTCAGACCGTCAACAAAATGATCAGCAAAAATAAACTGTTCCGCCTATCGAGGCAATTGTTTTCAAGGCAACTTGGAAATTGTTCTTCATTCTTATAAAATGTTTGAGCAAAGGCCAAAAATTCTATTGTTATGGAAACATGCTTGAATAAGATATACGATCCACATTATTTTCAATGGCTTATTGTAGATATATTGTATTTTTTTTTTGGGTACAATACATTTTATTATGCAATCATAATGGATGTTTTTATTTTAAAAGCTGATTATGAGTGATCTTCGCTGCCAATGGATATCACACAAATTCTGTTACATATCATTCAGGACACATTTGGAGTGATTATTTTATGTCTGAGCGTTACCATGCGAGTTTTAGCTCGTGTCATTAAAAAATTCGTCGAGAATATTTTGATGAATACGTTAAAGTGAATACCAAAAGTTGTAATAATAAAGATAATATTGTACGAGAGAGCACACAACGGCAGAACTTTTTTCGCAAGTTTGATTTGCGACCATTCGTTATGCAAGCTACTGCTACGCTTTTGAATCAAACAATCTTCAAACAAACATTTTATCAAATATAAAAAAACACAATATCGTAAACTAATAAACGGGTAAGGATCCCATTGAGTACTGCGGCATGGTTTCTAATAATTATGGACTCTACAAGAATGTTTGATTGGCAATAAAATTCAATGGCGTGTAAAAACTCAAAAATGTGGTAGTAATCCACGCTTTTCTATTCATCTAGACTACTCATTTGTAAGGTCACAGGGGTCTTCTGTGCAATATATTATAGCAATATACTATTTTAAAGATTGATTCAGCATGATTCGTAAATAGATTTTTACTCACCAAACTAATTAGTGAACATACTTTTTTCATTGACTTGACCACTCAGGTGAACTTTTGAACTGCTTAGTTGTTCGTGAGAATTTTTAATTTCAATCTAGTAACGGTGGTAGGGCCACGCAGCAGCCTCGGCTGTTGCACGAATGGGCAGGCTCGTCCGGGTAAGTACCACAACCTCACAGAAGACCGGCGTAAAGTGAAAGTATTATATAATACTTTCGCGTTTCGTCTGGTGAGGTGGCCAGAGCCCAATTTTCAAAAGGTTTTCAACGCATCTGCAACCCTCGGGTGGAGCAGATGTCTATGGGCGGCGGTATTCACTTAACATCAGGTGAACCGTCTTCTCGTTTGACAACTTTTCACATAAAAAAAAAACAGTAAATGTCCAAAGAATTAATGAAACCTATTTCTATATAATATACATAACTATGTATATACATAATATGGTTTAAAATAATAGTTTAAATAATAGCTTAAGTAAATCAAAACCATTCTATTATTATAGTTTACTATAATATTATCAATTTTTTACTAAATGATTGCAAAATTTAATATTTTAACACACTTTTTAATGCTTTTGAATATCGCATACAATAAACAGAAGTTAAATATGGACAATGAATGTAGATTAATAAACAAAAACAACGTTTCTCATACATGGTGAACAAAACCGGCCAAGTGCGCATCGGATTCACGCACGAATGGTTGGTTCTGTACCACTATCAATAAAAACGGCAAAAAATCATGTCTGTTGTGTGAGAGCCCCCACTTAAAATTTTTGTTATTCTATTTTTTACTATGTATTTATTGTTATGCGGCAACAGAAATAATAGATCATCTGTGAAAATTTCAACTGTCTAACTATCACGGTTCATGAGATACAGCCCGGTGACAGACAGACGGACAGATCTTACTAATAGGGTCCCGTTTTACTCTTTGGGTACGGAATCATATACATATTTGATAAAGATAGTTAATACCGTCGTGTTTTAAACATTTTACACAGCTTTTACACAGCTTATAGGTTTAAGTCCGTAGCAAAAGAAAGGTTGTTAATTCAAAAGGTCAATCTTATAAGCGTTTCTGAGTAAATCGTAAATAAAAATCACTAATTTAGCTTAGTATAAACTGGTATAATGGTATTCCAACGGAAGACCTTAACAGCACAAATGTCAACATATAAAAAAAAGTTCGATGTCCCTATGCAGTTAAAATCCAGTGCCGATATTTGTCACCAATCTTCGCATAATATAGTTATTACAGACGGACGAGGTTATGATCCGAAACCACTGTTTGTAACAATATTTGTTCTTTTTATTATGTATATTTGTAGTCTCGTGCTAGTCAATGTATATTCAATTAAGCTAATGAACGAAAACGCCACAAATTACTTGGAATTTAATTTAATAGAACACACCTCGGTTTTCATACGTAGTATACACCTTTATTATGAAAGCAGATTACGATAATAACATGTGAATGTGCTCTAATTGTTTTGTCATGTAAACGGCAAAGGTCAAGCGAGCTTTAAATAGTAATATCGATCTTAGTCAAATTGAGAATGGGTGGACAAAGTAGTTTAAATTGTTTTTTGTAAAACAGGACTTCTAGATGTGATTTTGCCATGTTTAAAGCATTAATGATATACCCGACTTAAATATAATAGGATATTGTTGGATATTGTTTTGATAACTTAAATACAAGAGGATATTGTTCAGTCTGTCTGTCTCCACAAACAGATATAATAACACATGATTCCTCTCAAATTCGTTTCTATGTCAAGTACATTTATTACTGGCGCTCTTTGGCCCATCTAATCAACATTACCGACCGTAAAATAATGCTCAAGTAATGCTCAATATAACCGAACAATTCTGACAGTTTTTTAGGGTTCCCTACCCAAACAGGATCCTATTACTAAGACTTTCTGTCTATACGTCTGTCTGTCTGTCTGTCCGTCCGTCTGCCACCAGGCTGTCGCATGAACCTTAATAGCAGTTGAAATTTTCACAGATGATGTATTTCTGTTGCCGCTATTACAAAAAATACTAAAAACACAACAAAAAATTGTGGGGCTCCCACAACATAACATAATAAACACCACACAACATAAAGATAATCGTACGGAACCCTTCGTGTGCGAGTCCAACCCGCACTTGGCCGGAATTCTTTAATCCGAAATTTATTACTTTAAAATTTTAACTATAGTTATGGAAACACATTTTTATGTTAAATATATAATGTTATTACAGCGATCATCGTCTATTCTTTACTGATTCACATTTACGCTGTTTAAAGTATTATATATTTAATGTTACGTTACATATTGTGATCACATATACAGTAGGTATAACGAACTTTGTAAAATTAAGTATTATTACGAGAAAAGAGCATTGATTTTACTAACACTGTATAAATCGTGAGGGATCAACATAGTTCTAAAATATTCATCGCTATATGTAACCGAAGCGTATTTACTAAGTTTTATATGTTCACTCGACCTAAACAAACATCCTTTGAACGCGATATTATAAATGGATCTTCTGAGTACACAAGCGGCGAGATGGGGTCAACTTGAAATATTCATGCTCCTTAGAGCAAGAAGCAAAGAAGAATACAAAAGATTACTGCACCAACAGCTCAATTTTTCTCCATTACGAATTACGTTATAAAAGCCCGCCTTAGCTCTGTTGAGTAAATACCGTGGTTTATTCCCCATGGATATTACGCGAAGGCGAGTCAAAAAAAAATACCACCTAATTTTTTATATTGTAGGGTATAAATTGGTTCAATGTTTCCACAAACTGTCAAATGGCAATTTTTAAAATTATTATCAATAATCATAGATAGAAATATGCTGCCGAAATTAAAAAAATGATAAGTATGTACATTATATTATATCCGAAATAAATTAACTACACGAATTGCCTGCAATATTTGTAGAATGATCATAATCGCTCGAATTTCTTGCTTTTAAAAATGAAAAATGTATTTAGTATAACAAAAATTGAAAATCCCTAATATTCATATGCCTTTGTTGGCGTCTGTATGTTATTCGAGCCACATGCCCGTATTAATACTTTATTTTACTCAGTGACTTTACTTAAAGCTAAAGTATGAAGTCATCTAAAGCGATGGATTTTAGATCCATATTCAATTTCCAATCGTATCCATCGGAAACGTTATAAAATTATGACGGTAACAATATTACACACATTAATAAAAATATTTAACAACGTTATAAAACAAAAGATAACGATGATAAATTAAGTACGTAATAAGTGTGAAGTATTAATTGTTTCAAGAAAAATATAAATACGTATTACTTGGTTTTCGACTTTTCTTTTTCGATTTCCTTTTGTTTTGCACTATTTCGATATGACCTAGATAGTACCAAACAACACGGAACAATAATACCATACACCCAGCAATTCATTAGTTAGAATTCAACATTTCGCAACTTCAACTTTTTGCGAATTCAACATTTTAGGAATTCAACATTGTGACCCGGGTGGGAAATTCAACTTTTTACGACTTCAACATTTTGGGAATCAACATTTTGTGAATTCAACATTTTAGGAATTCAACATTTTGCAAATTCAACATTGTGGTCCTGAAGGGTATTTACAAAGTCATAAATCATATTTTTTAAATCAGAAATTTTCAATGAATGTAGTATGCGTTCCGAGAGCCTTTCAAGAAACGCAAAGAAAATCTCGCATTTATTCCATTTTGATGTTATATGTGCTGGGAGGAATCCATGAGGTCTGATGATTTTTCGCTGACGTAGCAAATAACACAGGATGATTATAAAATCTCGGTCCAATAATAAAGAATATTGCGTTATTTAATATACATAACATAAAAAATTGAATCACATCATACGATTTCTATGATTTCTACTGAATGGCTTTTATAATGACAGTCAATTAAGTTATGATAAAAGTTTGGATCGGCAAAAATTTATACACCGTTATTCGGGTCCCGTTTGGGTGTCTTTGTACACATTACCATCTCGCATACCTACCTATATAGCGATCACAACAAACTTCATTCTTCGGTCTGTCAACAGCGGAATAACTTTCAACATCGGTCGAAAGGTCGCGACGGGTTGAACTCCCACGGGGGGCTCTAGAGGACTTTGTTCTCAACACGCAACCCGTGTGTTTGACTGTTCCGTGTATACAAATCAATTGGTGAATTGACAGGGAGCGACGAGGGACGCGCGGTCGACGCGGGTAAGCCGTGCCGCGAAGGCGGTTGGTACTGCGGGAACGTTCAACGCGACGTTCCGCGCACGCGCCTCGCGCCGCTGATACTCTACACATTGCCAGCGGCACGGCTAATTGCGAAACCGCTGACCAGCCGGACCAGAAGGTATGAATGCGCCGTGGGGATTTCCCCGCAGGAAAATATTCACAAAGAACAACGGAACGGAAGGTTTTCGTTTCGCCTAATACGCGGGCCTTTTAATCGCTTGGTTTACTTAGGCCAAGGCTTTTTTTACTTTTATACTGAAAGCGGGGGCAATCAGCTAAAGTAAATATTGTATGTATACACACATATAATGCACATTTTTTTATTACATAATTGACTTAATAAGTTTTTTATTAATAACATGGTTTACTGTTTTACTAGATATTGTAAGTAGCTCAGTATAAAAAAGGCAAAGTAACAGCCTATACATTACATATCCCACTATTGGGCAAAGGCCGCCTCGCCACATGTGGCACCTCTGCCGTTTGGCAGACTTTACCTTCGAATTTTTTTTTTCTTGTTATTATTTAGAACATATGCAGGTTTCTTCACGATGTTTCCTTCACCGCAGAACACGTGATAACTTAGCATTTAATATTAACAATTTATATATATAATAACATTGGTGCTGACACCTGGAATCGAACTCAGGTCGCTTGATTGTATTGAACTAAAAGCGAGCGCCTGGACAAGGAGCTATGACGGAAGCTCAGTTTAACCATTTCAATTCGTGGTATTTTCAGGCTATATGGGCACGCTCTCCACGTGAACTTAAGCTCGCTGTTTGGATGGGCCCGTGTAAAATATATGATACTCTTATATGAGTTTTCCGAATTTATACAATAACAACCTAATTCCGAAAACATGAAAAAACATTTGCCCCTTCAAAGACGAGAACCAGCATTGTTTCTTTATTGTAAATCGATTTGTGTTGGTAATGCATAATTCAAATAGTTTTTTTTTTTTTTTCGCAAAAAATAATATGTTTTTAAATTCTTTTGCGATAAAGTTTAAAGTTCCTTCTAAAAACATAAACCTTACGACGTCATGCAAAAAAAATTATAGGACGAGAGTAAGGAATTTTAATACTGCTTAACAGAATGAATAGTTCAAATAACTCAGCAGCAAAAGTGTGTCACGTAGCATTGCGAGAGGCCGCCTCTCCTGCGAGGTTCGGAAAATGCCGACGCGTCTTCAGCTCCAATATGGTGTTCTGAACGCTAAATATTCCATAAAAAATTTTTTACCTAAATGTTTAAAATCAAAAGACAGAAACAGTTATTGCGATAAAATAAATTGCGTCGTACTACGCATAGACCAATCAAAATCAATGTAACTAAATCATAATCCCTTACCGATTCTTCATCAACCTCATCTTACTAAAAGAAGATAAAAAATATCGAAGAATGTAATACCGTTCAAATAAGTTATTCAGAAATTTCTTGGTACGTTTAGTAATACTTACAGAAACTTTACTTTCAATTCAAAAAATACAAGAATTGCTTCTACAACACTGCGGGCGATTTTAATATTCTCGAATAACAAAAGATCTATCAAACTGTGGTCTGTTTTTTTTCTTTTTCTATTTTAAGTAGGGCAATTATTATTTTCATTACCCTCAAACTTCTTCAATTAACCTAAAATAATTCATTATGTAATTAATTTCAAATACCAAAATCGTGATAATATCTTTTCGATGTAAATACCAATACAGATATCGCTAATTTCTGTAACTGATTCAAGTACAATAATAGAGGTATATATATTACACGATTTAATACATATTTATTCATTACATTAAAATAAATAAAACTATTTCCAATTCTGAGCAAATGATCTGAATGAGATGATGAATGGACTTTTATAAAAGCGGTATGAGGAGAATTTTTCAAGTTTGTTTAATTCCAGAAACAATGAATACAGTTTTGATTTTAAGGAAGGCAGAATTCAGCTCTGCTTGTTCTGACTGCAACACGTACTGTTACTAGGAACCCTATGGGAAATAAAGTACATAGCTAGTAGTTGTACAGTGTGACAAACCAGAAAATGAGTATGTTTGCGCATGTACTGTGAAATAAATGTGATTATAGTATAAGGTCCTTATATATGAAATTGGCGTGATATAGTCATATTATTTGTTATATTTTTTTTTGTAAAATTTATTTGATTAATCAAAGTATGCAAAGTTATCTACGAACTCTTGCCATCTCATAGATAGTTTCATTGATCCCTTGAAAAACCATGGGGGCGAGAATCAATAAACACTTAGGAGGCGATTTGAATTACCCCATCGGAGTTGAATTATTTTCCTTGTAAGAAGTTTCGGAAAAAATGGTTATCTGTTGGAACAAGGTCCGGGGAGTACGATGGATGTCGCTGCCATTCCAATTGTAGCTCATCTGACTAAGTGGTTGTATGTTTTTCAGTGTGTCTTGCGTTGTCGTGAAGCAGCAGTGGCCTATAGCGATTGACCAATCTCGGTTGTTTACCAGCTACTTCTTCCTTCATGGTTTGCAATTGCTGACATTAGATATCCGCCGTAATCATTTGGCCAGATTTTAGAAAACTGTAGTGAACGACACCAGCGGTAGTCTCCCAAACACTCACAAGTAACTTTTTCTGAGTCAATTTTCGTTTAGGTCAATATTTGGTGGGGTCTCCAGGGTTTAGCCCTTGCGACGAGCGCTTCCGATTATCGTACAATATCCAACTTTTCATCACAATTAATGATTCCATGTGAAATCCCTTCATGATTCGATTCACTGAATTCATCTCTCAAGTTTTTGTACTTTCCCGATTTACATCAAGTGGATTAATATAGTTTTATCATTTACCCCGAAGCCTGCAGCTATCTCTCAAGTGTTTTGTGATGGATCCGCTTCCACAATAGCCTCTTATTCTTCTTCTTTTCCACTTTGGTCTCCGGCCGTCCACGGGGTTGGTTCTGAAGGTCAAAATTTCCGGAACGAAAACTTTGAAACCAAACACGTGCCGTGCTTTCTTTTAAGACACCAGCGCCGTACACATTATTAATCCTGCGAGCTGTTTCTGCAACACTGGTGCCACGGTAGAATTCGTACTCGTAAATATACCGATTTTTAATTTTTCCCATTGTGCGATAATAAGCGACGCCAAAGAATAAAATAATGAGGAAGAAACAAATGAATGACTATTTTCAAGACTTAAATGTACTAGGTAAATCTAATATATAAAATTCTCGTGTCACGGTGTTTGTAATTGAACTCCTCCGAAACGGCTCGACCGATTTTGGGTGTATATGGGCCAGGGTGAAGAATCGGACAGCATCTATTTTTCATCCCCCTAAATGATAAGGGTTTTTTTAAACATTTTTTTCTACCCTACAAATAATTTATATAGAAAAACAACGTTTGCCGGGTTAGCTAGTGAATTTATAAATTTGAATTTGGATATCTTAACCAAAGAGAAAATATCTCAGATCAAAAATGTCAGCACAAAAAAACGCTAATTTCGCATGCAAGGACCTAATATGATATCACACTAATAATACAATACTGTTGTCTTTGTTGTTTTGTTGATTTTTTTCAGAATCGATGAAAAATTTATTATTTACTTCCAGTTATAGATTATAAAATGAATACTTTATAAGGTTTATTAATAAAATTAATGCAATTAACCTTTACCAATTATAAAAAAAATTACTTCATTAATTAGGTAAGTTTTGAGATTCAAGAAAAATTGCAACTTTTGAGTTAAGACTCTGTTGCCTTGAACAAAGTTTTCAGTAAGTGTAATTATTTTGAGTTGTATAGTTATTGATGAAACATTTTGAGTAACTACAACTTAAAGGTGACTTTTTCCGTATGGTTTTCACTAAAATTTTGTAGTTAAAACAATTTTTAAATGTAGCTTAACTTTTATAGTTACCTCTAACATAATAAATTTCTAATTGAGGTGAGGACATTGATAAATAAAACCAGATAATCAACACAATTAAGTCACATAAACAATTCGCATTTATAAAAAATTCACAATAAAAATATATTTTCAACATTTAGTGCTTATTTCAATAAAAAAAAATTATACGGTGTATATAATATTTTACGGTGGGCAGGCTCGTCCGGGTAAGTACCACAACCTCACAAAAGACCGGCCTAAATTGGAAGTATAATACTTTCGCGTTACGTTTGATGAGTGAGGTGGCCGGAGCATAATTTTCAAAAGGTTGTCAACACATCTGGAACCCTCGGGTGAAGTCCATGGGCGGCGGAATTCTCTTAACATCAGGTGAACCGTCTGCTCGCTTGGCAACTTTTCACAAAAAACCTTGCCAAATTTATTCCCGTTTACGACTTACCGGTGACATCACAGCTTGTAAGTCGTAAACATCAACAATTGTGTTGTCACCCTAGTTTTATCTTTTTCTTCTCTCTTCTAGACATTTCTTTTTCTTTCAAGTTATTTTCGTCTTCAGCAACATATTGTTTTCCTTCTTAGTCAGCGTTTTTATATATATATTTTTATGGAGAAAAAGGCAAAACGAGCAGAAGGCTCACCTGATGGTGATCACCGTCGCCCATTAACGTTGCAGGTGTTCATGGGTGACGGGCGACCAGACGGCTTACAACAGCTCTTTCAGGAATGAGTATGCTCTCTTCTTGAAGTTTCCCAGGTAGTTGATGGTTCCACAGAGAGATTGTGCGAGGCAGGAAATGCCTTGAACATCTCGCTGTTGTCGAACGCTGGACATCGAGGTGATGCGTATGAAATTTTTGGTTTTGGCGCGATGTCCGATGGTGAAATTCAGCCATCGAAATCAATCCAAGCAATTCCTCGGAAAACTCCCCCTGATAAATGCGGTAGAAGATACAGAGTGATCCAACATACGCAGAGCCAAAGGTTCCAGCTGATCAGAAAGACTTTGATCGTCCATAACCTTAGCCGCGTTACGTTGAGTGCGGTCAAATGGAAAGATGAGAATAGAACTTCATGTACGCCCGTTTTTATATTAGGCGATGGCATGATGTTTGGGCTCTTAGATAATGAGATTCAATTCATGATATGGTCTTAATAAAAATGTTGAGAGTATCATAGACCTCTGGTTCTGGTTTCTTATTATATTTATTATCATGTTTCCTTCGCTGGATGATATATCCAGAACAAAACCAGTCTAAATTTTGCTTTTGATAATGTAATAACAATTTGTTTGTCATTTATAGCGAGAGTATGTTATAAAGATCTTTTACAGACTTTAATATTAAGACTATAGTTTACTTGGAAATGAAATGCGGTATTGGAAAAATATCGAATTTTTGAGTTGATTAGTATCTGTTTTTTGTTTAATCTCCGTAGTATTCCCAATTCTGAACTAGCTCCTAAACTCCAATAATTGTTGAAAATATTCTGCCTTGATTTTATCACAACATTTATCTTTGAACGAGAACTTAACTTGCATTTTTCGGACCACATATCGGACCCTTTATTGCAGATACTGGTTTCAAGTAGCATATCAATGTATGCTTTACTAGTATTGCGAAGTATTTTTACTATTTTATTTTTCAAATGTGATACATTACGAAATCTCTTTTTGGAGTTTTTGTTGTTATCTTGCACTTCCGAAACAAGAAACAAAAGGCCACGATGTATACTTATTCAACATCAAAGAAATCGTTATTGAGTAAAACAACAAATATTGTATGTCACCTACATTGTAGTAAATCTAAATTATTAAAAAAAATTCTAATGAGAATATTCTTACTCATACATTAAAATTTTCGAATTCGTTTTTTAAATGCTGTAATTAACAAATAAATATTATAAAATTATCACAAGAAACAAGATAATTATTATTTTTCAACAAAACTGCATTAAGTCTAAAATTACTTAATAAACTAACAAAAATGTCGTAATTAAAAATAATATTTTGAATTGCTATTTTGTGAATCATTAATAGTGCAACTAATTTAAATACACCAATATTTATTTAGGTTTAAATCAGCTATAATGTATTATCAGCTGGAATTTATAATTTCACTTTTGCATATCTGATTCCAAAATAAAGTTTCAATTTAAATCATAGCGGTCTAAAACGCAGAGCGGCAAGTCCTTCGTCGTTAAATTTCGATGAAACTAAAAATGATGCATTATTGGGTAGGGTTTTACGACAGCGAGTCAATCGTGACCACTGACTTCTGGCGCCATCCGTTATTTGGGTAGGGGTCTAAATTTTACGTTT